TGTTCATAGAGTTGGTTGCAAACCCCATTCCATATGCCATTGCAGATTCCACACCTAGGAACCTGGCAACTAGCTTTTCCAGCTCCTCATGTTTGTCCAAGTTTCCTGCACATAAAACAAATGAGAAATTCAGAGTGAGGAGAAGCTTTCACTATTGCTACTTTGTATGGAAGAACTTCCAACCAACCAGGCTGCTCTTTATTTAAAGGCCCATAAAAGAACACTGATCAAAATATATATATATATGAAAACATAGGTAAGACAACTAATGTGCCATGTAAACTAAGCCCAGCAAGTCAATTCATCTTCACTAAGTAAAAGTGTCTTTATTGATTAGTCTAAAGTTCAAAAGCTGGAACAAGTAATGCTTCAAAGACCTGTGATGAGATTACAGACTTCAAAACATACGATTCAGAGAATATCCTATCTTGCTCCAACTTACCCATCTCCTGTCTAGTGCTGCACACTCCAGCTCCATACTGGGACAGAACTTTAGCTGCTGCTTCTTGGCAAGTCCCAGCCTTCTGTGCAAATCCAAGGTAGTTGTAGGAACCCATATTAATAATGTCCTTTATCACTCTCCCCGTGTACCTGTGTTTTAAAAACACCACAAGTTAGGACACTCATAACTGAAAACATTAACTACAACAGAAGATTCTTATTTCAGTTTCCTAGAATATATACTGAAATGTTAAAATATCAATAGAATCAACCATTAAATTATTTCAGTACTGCCCCTCATCATCAAACTGAAGTGATCAGTGAAAAAGATGCTCTCCCTATCTTAAGGTGTCAAACTAATTCCCAGAAGAGTTTACGCTAAAAGGTGAATTTGCTATCATATCTAAAACTCCTTGGGGCTTCTCAAATCATTTGTTGTTTCTCTGACATATCCCCACTCCATCCCAGAAACATACAATTTTCTTTTCAATTCCAAAATAAGATCTCTAGATCAATTAACTCAGCAGCCCCTCAAGCAGGATATCCTCTAACCACAGAAAGGAAACACATCTGGCACTGCTGTGCTAACAATACGTGACAAGTTTGAGGAAGAAGTTTAGCAGAAAAAAAGTTTTAATTATTTTTCCCTTGAAAGCCAAGGAGAGACATGGCTAGTTTCACCAAGTACTGTGCTGCAAACCCCTTCACAAACTTGTGATATGTCGTTTACATTATGTAAAAATCCTTGTCCATGCACTTCCTATTTTTTTTCTACAGACTACTTCAGTTCTGACTCAAAACAATTGTGTTAAATTCAGTTTCAGGCAGCAACATTTACTTCAAGTGTCACGACTGATTCTAAATCAACACAAAGTCACAAGTAGCAGTGCAATCCAAAGTATCTACTCCAGGTTCTGATCATCACATACCAAAGTATTAATTTTATTATAGGTGTATGCCCATGAAATCTTAACACAGTCAGGAGCCTTAGTAAGCAGCCAAAAGATTATACACAAATAATCACCTTGGTGGCCAGATGTATTTCAAAAACAGCAAGATTTGTCGATTCAAGCCACTGGAAAACTCAAACCAAACATGATTCACTGCTCCTTTAACTTCACAGTCTGCAACTTGCTCTTTTAGACCCCTCTACTTAAAGATAGTTGTTGGAAGCCTTTTCTTCAATTTTGACTCACGTGAACGTCCAGTTATAGTCATGGGAAACTCTCTCCATCATGTCCACTTTGGCCCCTGGCACACTGCAGATTGGACGGTTCCAGCTGTCCCGAATACGCGTGTAGAGGTTTCTGTTGTAGAAATTTTCAAAGTCCTGGTACAATGGAACAAAGTCCTGAAACACAGGAAAAGCACTCAAAGTAAAAGGAAAATATATATTATAGCAAACTAGGAATAAGAGGAATAAGTTGTTTCTGTCATTCAGGTGTAATTTATAAGTGAAAAGAAAAAATATCAAGAAAACTCAAGAAAGAGTTAGAGTTCTTCATCACAAGCCCTGAAGCCAATTCCATACAAAATTTTTTTATTCCTGGAAAACCATGCCAGTGCAAAATTATTTGAAGGTGAGACAGCAGAAAAACTGAAGAGATTAATCTGCTGGTGCAAAATGCACCTGATGTGATTTCCAAACTTTTTCAATGTGCAAATCTACCATGCCCCCACGGTTTCCTCAACAGTAGGTACTTATTTGCATATAATTTCAGTAGCTCATAGAATCTAAAAGACATCAACCACAACTACAAAAAACAATCATGGCATTAGGTCATGCTTCACGTTAGAAAGCTTCAAAGAATTCTAACATATAGGAGAGGGAGTGCTGAAAGCAACACAGAAACTGAATTGGGAGGTCCTAGTGACACAAGGAGGTCTTGTTCTCTGAACTCAAATGGGACTTGAAATACCTTGGCTGTTTCCAGTTCTTGCTAGGTAGTTGAGGAGAGCACCTCTCTGAAAACAGACAATAACCCCCTTCATGAAATTTGTGGTCATATAGTCTTTGTAAGAGATTTGTATTCAGTCTTCAGAGGTAAGCAGAGCAAGGGAACATTTTGGCACCAGACAGTACACATTGCTCTACCAAATACACAAAGAATTTGAAAACTGAGGTACTCTGACGTATTTCATTCTGTACATAAGAAATGCATTCAATATGGCAGCACTGGCATTATTATAGAGGTTACCGCTAGAGCTGCCCACAATTCTTTGTTCTGAATTCAAGCTAGTAAGCTACATTATTGCACCTCTCTTTCGCACAGCTTATCGGAACTGAAGTCCCACAGGACTTCTTTGCATGAGTGTTTCCTGAATTCTAGCTTCCCTTCCAACATTTTTCAGGAAAAGTACGTGACTGCCTTGAAGGATAACACACAAGAACATCAAACTAACTGTGACAGCAAGGACATCTGAACACTCAAGAACACTTTTTCCTAGCCTACTTAAAATGCTCCAAAGTCATGAGATTTCCTTATTACTATTCAGTTAAAAGAAAGTTTGACATTCAGTAGTGGTAAGAATGCATAATTCATTTGCTACTGTTGGGGAAAAAAAAAGAAAAGCCTTTTTAATAATCTACAAAAGGAAAAGGTAGAATTTATGACAAAGGTAAGAGCCAGCATAGCATTTCTTCCTGTTTTCCACAAGAGAAATGAAAACATGGTGAGAAGCATTTTATTTTTGGTGACAGGATAAGCAAGACAGAATATCTGTCTGACCAAATATTACAGTGCCTGACATTCGTACCACTGAAGAAAAACTAGAAGCATTTATGCCAGCTTTTTAATAACAACTCAAATAAAAGGGCACTGACAAGCTTTTGCTTGACTGTAGGAAAAGTACTTTTTTCTTTACCTTCCTATTTTAATGATTTAACAACTTTGTCCTCTCAGTTTGGAGTAAAGGAACCATCTAAAGTTCATCCCTTCACATACTCCTACCAGAAGCCACATAGGAAAGATGAAGCCCAGAAGTGCCAACTTCTAAGCAGAAATAGTTGCACCTAAGCCCCCTTCTGATTTGCCTGTATATAATGAAGGCACAGAGATATTAATTTTCATAATTTCAACTATGGAAAAACAAACCAAATTGAGACAGTGATCACTCCTCCAGAGAATCACAAGTATCTCCTTTCTCAGCCAAGACAGACAGCAGGAACAAGATTACTACGAGCTAAATGCACAGAAGGGCAATTATTTCTTCCATATTCCTCTACTTAAGTAGAGTTTTGCATTACTTCATGTGCCAGTTTTCTCTGAAGGCCCTTTGTCAAGAGAGGTTATCAGGGGTAGTAGGTCAGCTAATACAAAGCTGTAATCCCCTAGAAAAATCATTAGTTTTCTGAAGTAGCTACACAGCTCTATCCTTCCTCAACTTCAGTGTCTCATGTTGTTCCAGGCAGAAAGTAGGTTTCAAGGCTGAATCACTAACTGGCCACTTTTACAATGGAGAAAAATATCTTGGTATTGACAAATGCATTCGAGAACATCCTTCATACATGACAAGTTACATAGCTACTGTACTGTATTACAAAGTGGTGATGTGCATGACAGTACTTGTAGCAACATACTGAGAAGATCTTGATTCATGACACAAAATCAAAATAATTATCCACAAGTGTCTGAAACCCTCTGCTACATCATCTGTATAGGGGTGGAGGAAGTGAGAAGATCAAAAAGAAACTCTGGTGCATCAGAAGATCAATACTTAAAAGTCTTGTACTTGTTACATCTAATTATAATCTACTGAGATCCTTTTAAGCATTTTCAACTCCTCTTAAATATCTCTGCATGAGAATTCAGCTTTGCAATAATTACTGAAGCACATTAACTATGTGACCCAGGAAACAAGTGAGACTTTAGCCAAGGTTCCTGGCTAGGAGTGGTTGCTGGAGATGAGTCATTACACCAACTCGGTATGCCTGGGCTCATAAAGTCAAACTTCAGCTCAGATTACTGATCAGAGAGAGCATGTTTTATTTTGAAATCCAAGCTGACAAAGCAGGAAGAGTAACAAGCTCAACTGGTGAGATAAGACAATCACTCACAACAGGCTGACACCACCAAGAGATATAACTCAAGTATGACCTTACAAACCAACAGTATAACTAAGTTTGAAGTGATTTAACTGGTGAAGTAGAGAAGTTCTCTGAACCTACTGGATTATGACAAGGAAATAAGGTGTCTTAGAAGTCAACAATAATTCAAAGAACAAATTATGTGTAAGGGAATTAAGGTCTAATATGGGACACTAGCCCTAGTTTTTGTGGGTACCAAGCTGTAAGATTATAGCAAAGGGCTCTAGGTAAGACATCGGCTTAATGCCAGCCCCCTTGTTGTCAGTGCCACCCCTCCACAATAAACCACCCTCAGAAAGTTCCTTGAAATAGGACGGGTAGGAAATGTTTTTTGGCATAAATCAAAATTGGATTGTCTATTTCCTCAGTAACCCTAACCCCACCAAGAGGGTGTCATGACCCATGCATCTGAGAACACAAAAAAAGAGGAATGGTAGGGATATCGTGCTTTTATAAACTGGTACAGACTTGGGGAGCTTGAGAGCCCTCTTTTGGAGCTGGCATACAGGACCAGATGGTTTGTGGGTTGTTTTGTTTGTTTGTTTGTTTCCCTTCCCATCTTTCTACAGTGTGACATTTCAGACTAAAAGTAGAGAACACACCAAAAAGGACTAGAATTCCTCACAGAAATTAAATGTTTTCAATCTTTGAACCAAGGAAAAACATTTAGGGAGGGAAGGGGGACGAAATCTATCAATCTACACTATTTCAAATTTTTGGCATGCACAGCCACAGTGCTGTGCTGCAAGTGTGTCCTACTGCTGGAAGCAATCACTGTCACATTTAAATGGCCTTCAGAGCTTGTTATTTTTC